AATTTTATTTATTTATTTTTATTTTATGTGTATGCATGTATTACCTGCATGTAGGTAAGTGCACCCGTGTCATGCAATGCCCACGGAGGACAGAAGATTTCCATTGGTCTGTGTGTGCTACAAATCTTTTAAATTTAAAAAAAATTAAATTATTTGTATGTGTCTGTGGGTATGTGTGCATGAATGCAGTGCTAGCAGAGGACAGAAGAAGACATCAGATCCCCTGGAGCTGGAGTTATAGGCAATTATGAAGCACCTGACATGGATGCTGGGAAAGAAACTCAAGGCCTCTGGAAGAGCAGTATGAGCGCTTAACACCCGAGCTGTCTCTAGCCCAGTTTGTTTGTTTACACAGGTTGTATTATATAATTCTTAGCATTTTAAATTAATCTTATTTTTTATTGAATTTTTGTGATTTTCCTACAATATAGTTTGATGGTATTTAGATCCCCTCCCCTATATGCATCTCCCCCCACTGCCCCCTGCCCAATTTAATGTACTCCCTTATATATAATATGGCCTATAGAGCCTGATTTGTGTCACAAAATGTCCTTCAGTGTAGGTCCATCCACTGGGCCCACCAAGAGTCCCATCCCTGTAAGACACTGTCTCTCCCCGTCCCAGCAGCCATCAATTGCCAAAAGTTCCTTGGGTTGGGTTGGGTTTCTTAACCCTTTCCCCATGACCGTGCTTGGATTTTGTCTGGTTTGAGCTTACATGGGAGTTGTGTGTGCTGTCACCATTGTTGTGAGTTCATATAACTGAGCAGCTATCTAGAAGACTCTGTTTCTTTGTGGTCATCAACTCCCCCTGGGTCTTGCAATCTTTCCACCTCCTCTTCTGCAATGAAGATGAATCCATCTCTCAACTCTCACCAGAGAAGTTTCCTTATGTAGCAGATGATGCTTAACACAGAAACCAATCATTGGCCAATGTGGAGAAAATGAGAGGCCACAGAATGATTATCCATGAATAGGACACCTATTTCAAACCTCTGCCTCCCAAGATTCAGCCCTACTTTTATTTTTATTTTGAGAGAGGGTCCCGTTATATAGCCTAGGCTTGTCCCAATCTCACTTTGTATTCCGGGCTGGTCTCAGGCTTGTCATCATTCTGCCTGACCCTCCCAAGTGCTGGGATTACACGTGTGCCACCATGCCTAGTTTCTAAAACAAGGCTTTACTGAAACTATAAATAAAATTTGAAACTGGTTAGATTGATACTTCCACTTCTTTTTCAAAATTAGCTGTTCATACATTTGTGCCTTTCCATCATTTTCATGATTTTTAAAAGTTCATGCTGTCCAGAGCTAATTTGAGTGTAACTTGAATGGACCTGGTGAGTGAAAACACTTATGTGTAAGAAAAATAACACCCCAGGTGCAGGGGTTATTGACATCTGACATCAGCTTCTGGTCCTAGGCAGAAATGTGGAATATGATAGCTGGGTCACCTAGAGAATTGGAGTTTCCTGATTTTTTTAACTAAACAAGATAAAGACGCATAGTCAAAATAAAGCAAATTTGCGGGTT